GACATTAACCGGTAGCAAAGGACGGCTCCGCACCGGTAGAATATTGTAAATTAGTTCCGAAATAATTGTCGCCGATGCCCCTGTATCGACTATGATGCGTACCTCCACCCCATCAATGTAACCGACCACGGCCGACGATCCCGACGCCGCGGCCACCACGCGATGGGCCAACACGGACCACCGCTCGGGCTCGATTTGAGTCCCCGCAGTGATCCGCGCCGGTCCATCGCAGCGCCCCACCGGCCCCCCGTTCGTTACGGTGCGAGAGTGTGCGACAGGTGGGTGCGTTGGCCAAACATGTGAGGTGCCGCGACTCGCCGGATCATGGTGCTGGAGCTTGGGAGGAGGAAGAGGAGGGCCGGCGTCCTGTCGAGGCGTCGTCCCCCGCTGTCGAGGAGAACGGCACCCCGAGGCGACATGGCCCCGGATGCCGCAGTTGAAGCACCGCGGGAGCGCCGATGGAGACGATGGACGGTCGAAACGCCTCGGCCCGTCCCGACCCGGCCGCGCCCCCGTCGTCTGTTGCCGTCGATGGTCGACGGCATGAAGTTCTTCTGACGGAAGGGTGGCTGCAGCCACCGCACGCCCAGCCGATGCCCTGTTTGCCTTTCGCCGCTGCTGCAGAAGGTTGGCGTGGAGGAGTCGCGCAGCCTGGAGGGAGGTCATTTCTGCATCCCCTTGTGCGATGACGACGATGTCGAGGTCGTCCGCCAAGAGGAGGATCTTCTCCGCGACCATTGCGTCCACGCCGTCGTCGTCCATGCGGGGAAAGGCTGTTTTTGCCAGCGCCAGAAGACTTGTCCGGAAGGCCAGAGGCGACTCTTTTTCACCCCGCCTGCGATCGTAGAACTGCTGACGGCATTCGGCTGAAGGTCCATAGACCCCGGCCAGCAGCTGTAGCGCCATTGGTAGTGTAGCCCGCTTCTCTTTTGGCGCCGACGTGAGTGCGGCGAGCGCGTCCCCATCGAGGAGCGCCGGCAGCGCGCAAAGGGCCTCCTCGTCGGACCACCGCGCCATCTCCTGATGGGCGAGGAAGCGTCGCCGGAAGCCGCCCCAGTCACCCTCCGCACCGATGAATTCCTTCAGCGGGGGCAGCCTTTGGTGAAGCGCAGCGGTCGATGTGGACTCCCGCAGGTTGCTTTCACCTCCCTTTGGCGGTGCCTCGGCGCGACTGGCCGATGGCATCGCCTGTCGCGGCAGCGATGACGCATCCTTCGGCTGCGATGACGCTGCAGCCCCGGCGACGACGATGTCGGAGCCGATGTCTAAGCTGGCCACGCCCCGAACAGCCGCGGCGTCCATGGCGGGAAATTCAAATTGTGAAGTCGCTGAAATGGCGGGAAAGTGCTCCGGCCGCCGGTTCTCCTCGCCCTGCGGTGGACCACCAGCCCCCAACCGCGTAATGCCTTCCAGTGTGGCGGCAGCGGCATAAAGTAGCTCCGCCAGCCGTTCGTGAGCCAGTCGTAGTGCATCTGGCTGCGGCCCCTCTCCATGCTGACGTCCCGGTGAGAAGGCGCCAGGCTCCGGCTGCACCCCATCTTGTTGCTCTGTCTCGGGCTCGGCGATCTCCGCGGCGTCCTCCTCTTGTGGTACCCTGGTCCGAGCTGTATGGCGCGTTTCCATTTTTACCACTTCTGACGCCAGATGAAGTACCCGTCGAGGACGCTTGACAACGGAGTTGAGGCACACGTATATTTATTTAACAAGTTGCCAGTACAGGACAGCCCTAGAGGGGGTAGCGGCCCCCTCACCCGTATAACTCAGGGAATACCCCTAGCTATCCATAGCCTATCCCCTGAGTCCTCCGCTAAGAGCTAGGGGAGGCTGTCTGGCCCGACACTGGTAATCGGGCTCGGTACCCGGAGTCCCAGAGCACTGGCTCTGGTTCACGGGACCACGCCACTGGCTCGAGCCTGATCCCGTGGGGCCCTGATAAGGGCGGCGATCAGGGGGAGTCCAGGGCTCTAGCTACGACGTCTTCCGACTTCTTAGCTTAACTATAACATAACTGACTAAGCCCATATAACGACCCCTTTTTATACCCAACCCTCCTTGAGGGGTGGGGCCCCGGGGGATCGTAACGCCGAACCAGCCCCCCCCCAGGGTGTCTGGCTCGGACGTCGCAGAGGGCATCTCCCTGTGCACACACGTAGCCCCGCCCACTGTGTTTCTTTCCCATAGGCTGCCATGCATAACGGCCCTCTCTCCAACGTCCCTACACATACACACACACATACACACAAACACATACATACACATACATACACACATACATAGACACACACAGACATACACATAAACACAAACACACATACACATGACCCGGCTTCGCCCGGGACTTGGATCCACGATGCCCCGCCGCCTTTGTCTCCCCAGTGACGATGTTCACACACGACAGCAGTTACGCGTTTGAGGCTGAGTGGACCTAGGGGAGGGCCAGGTCCGTTTCAAATAATCGTCAGCGGTGGTGGGCGTGAGTTGGAATCGAACTGGGGTCGCTCAAGCAGCTTAATGACTGTTTGTACAAAGAACATATAAAGAATCGATTATAATAACCAGGCTACAGTCCACATTATAGACTGCCAGTACACGCAGTCAGCTTCATAAGCAGGCTAGAGTGTACATGATAGAGTGGCAGTACGCTCACCGAGCTTAATAAGCAGGCTACAGTGTACATGATAGACTGGCAGTACGCTCACCCAGCTTAATGAGTATTTGTACAGTGAACATTAAAGTAATCGATTGTTGGCGCGTTGGGTTTAAAAGTAATATTAATAGCACACATTGTGGTGGGGGTGTAGTGAAGAGTAGGAAAAACTTTGATGAATTTACCTCAGAGTGGCGTGGTGGGTGTCGAGGCCTAGTAGCGTGCAAAGCCTGCGGCCTCGCCTAAAATTGTCGGCTTGGAAGAGGCAGGGTACGGGTGGCGTTCCTTCCCCCCCCCCTCAGCGCTCCAACAATACTGTGTAATGGCTATTATTTAATTAAATACGAAGCTTATGAAAGTGGCGAAGGCGTGGCTAGCCGTTGGCAGAAGCAACCGCCGTCCAATGAAACTGCAGCCCTTGGCGAAGGCGTCGCTAGCCGTTGCCAGGTCCAATGAAAGCGGCGAAGGCGTGGCTAGCCGTTGCCAGGGGCAACCGCCGTCCAATGAAAGTGCGTATGGGCCGAAATACACACACACACACACACAGACAGACAGACATGAACGATTTTATATATATAGATGTCATGCGGCGTTTGTGAAAATCCGGCGCCCTCTTCCCACCCAAAGCTGCATTACGATACACACCAGTCGTCTCCATGCAAGTGATGTCGAAATTGGAGAAATTGCTTTGTTGAGCAAAAAATGGCCCCTTGATTTCAATAAAAAAAGCCTCCCACATAATATAAGAAAAAAGTGTTGCTGCCTGACTGGCTGACACGAGTGAATAAGTGCGTGGTGATTGTGACGTCACCGTGCACATCTGCGTGATGACGCCACCCGCATCCCACGCGCTGAGCCGGGCTTCGTGCGTGCCCATGGGAAGCCGAACCCTCCACCCTCGGCCTTCCCTCCACACTCGCCCATCCCTCCACCCTCGCCCCTCCCTCCACCCTCGCCCCTCCCTCCACCCTCGGCCCTCCCTCCACCCTCGGCCCTCCCTCCACCCTCGCCCCTCCCTCCACCCTGTTAGTGAATCCCACGCATATTCTCGGACCAGTGGTGGATAAAATGAAGTCAGGGTCTGCCCTCTTAAAATAAGTGTCCGGTGATGCAACCCCGAGCCGCTAGTGGGAATGATATGAACATATTTAACACTCGCAAGGCCAGACACAAAACCACTGCCACCTGCCAGTTAAATAACCTCGTTTTCTGAGTTGACAAAACTGGAGCTCAATTATAGTACCGTGATGAGTCAATCGATGAGTTGGATTCATTTGTCCACGTGCACTTCTCCTTACACGATACACTGATTACTATTATATTGTGACGAGTCAATTGATATTGTGTTCCTGTTGTCAGTTGATAAGTGGATTCATTTGTCCACGTGCACTCCTACTTACATTATTCACTGATCACGATTGTTTGATTGTACTGCCGAAATGATGGGAATATTGAACACGCCCCACATTAACGATTTCCCGGCTGTGCTCTTCCAGTCCTAAGGATATAAAAGCAGGTTCGTCAGCATGGGGCAGTGAGTAGTGCATTATTGTGTGGTGTTGTTGCTCACGGGTCTGGTTGTAGCGGCCAGTCTTTTTGTTTGCCTGCCGTTGTGTGGAAGCGTCATCATGCTGGAATGCTTAACAGGTTTGTCTGGAACTCCCCTTTTTCAATGTTAACCGTCTTGTCTTTTGCTAGTCGTATTCAAAGTGTATCTTTTTAACAATGTGCTTTGGTTCCTTAAATTCGCTGGGCGTGGAGTATCTTACTCTACCTGTACTTTTACAATGCGAGTGTGTAGATCACCAATTATTATGAAGCCATGGGCCTGTAATTTATATTAACAATGTTTATTACGGACTCCGTGGCAAAAACACGCTGCACCCAAATTCGTATTGGTAGGAACCACCTCGTTCCACCAGCCCACAGGGGATTATTGTGTCCGTCCGTCGTGCATCTAAAAATGGGTGGGGGGTGGGAGGGGAGGGGCTGGTCACCCCGTGGTGCCCTTATAAAACTCAACGTTTAACCTACTCACGCCGGCTTGTACCCACCCTCAGTCGACCATATTTGCGGAATACACCACGCTGCTGTTGACCCTGACCATTGAACGAGCAAACCAACGTTCCTACCAGCTCCCTCCGCAGGAATGTGTATTTTAGGTCCGCTTAAGTGGTCCTGTGGGCCTGTTTGTTTATCCCTGATTCGTGAAGTAAAAGTGCTTTTTCGAGTTTGTTTACCATGATGTAGACTCCTCCATAACAAGGCAGATCTACGGATGTACTGCGGTGTAAAGCTGTTGCAGGGTTTGCCCCTTTGTAAAATGCTCTACCCCCACCTTGCTGTGCTGCAGGACACGTGGAGACTGTGTACAAGCTGACGGTTGCCACGGGCGAAACGCTGTTGTCGGGCACCATGAACTTCGTGTATGCAACGATCATTGGCTCGGCAGGCCAGAGCAATAGGCAGCTTCTGGACCACTTTGGACCGGACCTTTGCCCTGGGGCGGTGAGTGTCGCTTCGTCGTGTCTAATGGCTTTGAGTAATGGGTACTACACAATCGGCTTGCTCCGTCCTAGCTTCTGATTGAATTGCCTGACAAGTGCCAGATCTTGCATGCTGAGGAGGAAGACCCTGGGTAGTGCTGGAATGACCACTATGCAAAAAGGTTGTGGAATGGGCTGCAGGGATTGGTAGGCAACTGCTGAGAGCAGGCGAAGTGAATGTGTGTGCTAAAGTTCTGCTGTTGAAAGTGGCATGAAACGAACGTGTGCACCATCTTGATCATGTGGTTCTGATGTATGCAGTGTTGCCTTGGTGATTTAAGACTAGTTAGGGTGGGGGGGATTGCCGGAAAGTCTGTTTAATACCTTTGCGTACTACGTGGTGTGCATGTTCAATTTTATACTCGCATCAAAGATTTGGCTTTCCTACATCTAGAATGCTTTTGTTGTTAGCCATTTTCTTTTTTTCCCCTGCCAGATTGACATCTACAGTATTCCAAGCAAGCTTGACATTGGCGACATCCGAATGGTTCGTCTGGAGAAGGAGGCGTTCCTGGTGAACGACTCGTGGTTCTGCCGTTACGTGGAGGTCAACGCTCCGGGTGGCCGGGTGCACCGCTTCCCTGCGAACCACTGGCTCGAGCAGGGCTCCATGGAGTTGCGGGAGGGTACTGGTGAGATGTGGTGATCGGCTGTTCTCCATTTTTGGATGGATTTGATGCATTTCGAATAAATGCTCATGGACAAACCAGCATGATCTGGCACAAAGGTTCCTTGTCTTTTTGGATGTGACGCTCCCTTTAACTGATTTTCCACAATTCCATTGCGGTTGTGCTATCGGCTAGTGGTAATATGAAGCCTAAATTTGAAATCCCCTCTAGTGAAAATTGTGCATGTGAAACTACCTCCCTGAAGTCGGCAAAATCACCGATTCGTCTTTTTCGGGCCTTTTCAAATGCTATGCATATGGGCATCCAAGACCTCTCCTTCCCAAGTGATCCTTAATTCCAGAGCACAACGGTTCTCTCCCACTATACAATGCTCCTTAATGTAATTACAAAATGCTAGAATTAACTTTGCAAGTTGGGTACGTGCAACGAATGGTGTTGGGGCTACCAGATGCGTGTTTTGCACTTGCTTACACTCTTCCCATTGCAGGAATATTGCCACAGCACGAGACCTTGGCTCAACTGAAGGGAAAGAGGGCTGACGAATTGTCCGAGAGACGAGACTCCTTGAGGTGTGAGGCACAAGTTCTTCACGGTCTCGTGCTTTGCTAACCTGTGATCCATTTAAATTTCAATGCGAGTTACGAAATGAGCTACTAGGCTTCATTTCTTCCTTTGCCAAAAATGTTCTAGAAACAACCAAAGGTAGTTGGAATTGTCCACTCGCTTCTGGGTAGTTCGAGATGCTTAGAGGTGGAACTACGTTGTCCACCGTTTCTGTTCGATTATGTGCTCTTAATCTGACCATTCTAATTAATTTTTATTGCACTTTCTGGGATAATGAGCGTTTGCCCCTTTATATTATATTAGTTGACCAGCTGCTGATTATATTCAGACCATTTTTGTAATCTTTTGCCACCCATGTTGTGAGTAGGGTGTATACCAATAACCATGGCTTTGACGCCTTAAATATTGTTACGTGCTTTTGATTTTCTGCAGGTGGCTAGAATGGCATGCTGGGCTTCCCCTTGGAGTCGACAGCAAATCGTTCCTTGACTTGCCCCGCGACACCCGTTTTGATGATGAAAAAGTGCCGATTTCAACTTGTCTTTTCTGCAAAGGTAAAGCCACATTTGCTTGCCATATGACTGACCATTCTGGACATGTTCATAGTTTTGAATTCTGTTTTTTTTTAATGTCCTTGACCTGTGACCACTTTTGTACTTGTCCTTTAGTGTGCAAGATTTGGGTTTGAGGGTGTTCATGAACCTCGATGGAATGTCTTGGACGAAAATAGAAGACTTCCGTCGCTTGTTTATACGGGTCAAGAGTAACGTTGCAGGTGTGTACGGAGAGGGTGGTGTGGTTTTGAATGGTCAAACTAGGCCTAGGGTTAACTCTATAATAGTGTAGTAGCACGACACTACTGTATGGGGGCTGTAGGCAGGTGTCACGGGGATCGTATGGGGCATGACACTCTATGAACCCAACGGGACACGTGACCAGATGAAGGTGGGCCAGGGGAGTCACGTGGTTCGGGCCTACCTGAAGGATCGGGAAGGGGGGGCATGCCCTGGGGTGGAGACGGCCACGCTGGAGTCGTCATAAGTGAAGTGTGGACAGCTGGGGCTGTTCTGCTATGCTGCTGGGATGAAGCTCTCTGGACTCTGCTCGTGGACCCAGGCAGCGTTGGGCTGTCTTGGTCCAGTAATGTAGCATCCCCCTTGTGTTAACGTGGTAGCCACCTTTCACAAGTTAAGTGTTTTTAATTGTTACTACAAAAATGTCGGTGCTGCTAAGGTTCCAGTGTAGCCTGCATTTAACCCACTTTACACATGCAAACCATCTACGATCAGATCCTCCTGCATTTCACCTAATTTGTGCAAGTTCAAAATGTGGCAATGGAACACAACGGCTCCACACCATCCCCTCCAGTAGCTTCCCAAGCACTTTTTAATCGATTGCTTGACTCGATTTTAATTAAATGGTGTGCCGGTGCTTCTGGCTGGTACATGTACACAACTAGTGATCTGCGGTTTAAATGGCAGCCCTGTATGTGGCGTCTGTTCCACGTCTTTCTGCGATCTCCTGTTATGCAGAGTACGTTTCTCACCACTGGGATCAGGACTGGTTCTTTGGTTACCAATTCATGAACGGAGTCAACCCTGTTCTCATCAAACGCTGCACCAAGCTTCCTGAGAATTTCCCTGTCACCACGGACATGGTGAAGAGCAGCCTGGTCCGTGAATGCTCCCTTGAAGACGAGATCAAGGTGCTGTTAAGATCTTGCATTGCTTTCACTTGAAACATGTCTAGTAACCTTGTGCAGGCCACAGCTTCATAAGCTCATCGCTGCAGTATTGAAGATGACCTGTGGGATTGCCTTGTGCGTGCATGTTCACAGCATGGAAATGTCTACATTGTGGACTACCAGTGCCTTGATGACATTCCTGGCAATACATTCAACCATTCCAAGCCCTTCTACCTGGCAGCTCCCATGTGCCTGCTTTACGTCAACAAACAGGGGCAGCTGCTGCCTATTGCTATACAGGCAAGTTGTGTGTTTTGCACTCGTGCTACATTCTGGCAATGGTTAAGTTTTGCTGTCAACGGGGCAACCTATCACTCCTGCCCCAGATGGCCTTAGCTCGCACCTTGCCAGATTTGTTATCAAATTATGGCATTCGTGCATTGGCTTGCGTTAGTATAGACCAAGTAGCACTATCTCTTCATCCAAAGTATGATAAATCGTGGTTTGTATGACCTTTGGCACGTACATGGCCAACCGTATTGCTATTAAACAAAGTGTTTGGAATGAAATGTGTACGTCTCATCTTTACAAAATAGGAATCCAGTACATGCCACGAAGTAAACATCAGAAATAAAAAAAAGGTTAAACACTAACAACTGCATCAGTTCCAATGTAACAATATTCTGCTCTTCCTATCGTGCATCCATAGCTACAGCAAAAGCCATCGGACAACCCCATCTTCTTGCCGAGCGACTCTGCACACGATTGGATGCTGGCCAAGATGTGGGTTCGTTCCATGGACTTTCAGATCCATGAGGTTTCCACCCACTTGCTCCAGACCCACCTGCTGGCCGAGGTGTTCACCATGGCCACCTTGCGACAGCTGTCTACAATGCACCCTGTTCATAAGGTGAATCCATGGTTTTTAGCCTGGAGTTTATCACATGGGTGACTCGTAATTACAAAAATTGTCCGCTGCTAGCTTGTATTTTTAAGATGCATGCGGTGTTATTTGCCATCCTGGCAGCCCTTGCACTGCCTGTTTTAACCAATGGCTTCGTAGGGGACCTTTAATCTCTGAAATATATAAGATCTTGCCCAATACGTTGGTCATTTTTGGAAAGGTTATTTTTTTTACAATTATGGATTATCGAACCATACTTCCAGAATACAATTATCAATACTGCTGTTTTAAAGTTACTCGTCTTTGCTCAAAAAGATTACAAGGTGCTCCACCATATGCATACCACCAGATGCAAACAATTAAATTCCTTGTGCACAGGACTTGCCCTCCTTTAACAACTTGAGAGTCCATGCTTAAAGCTACAGCAAGTACAGATTAAGCCTATTGCCGTCTAATACACATGGTGATCTAATTTTTCCGACCTGCTTGTGCATAGCTCCTGTATCGGCACCTGCGCTTCACCCTGGAAATCAACGTGCGTGCACGGACGCAGCTTGTAGGCACAGGAGCCTTTTTCGATCGGGTGAGGGTTGTGTTTTTACGAGCATTTGAAATGAAGTGGCCATTTTAAGACCAGGCATCAACCTCGGCATTCTTGCATTCAAACAATCTTACTGCCCGAGCTGATTGTGTTTTCCATGACCTCATGCATTCCATTATTTAGCTGCATAATTAACTCCATCTTCAATCCATTACAGGGCCTCATCAGCCCAGTATTTCCAATGCAGTCTTTGACATTTTGATCACTCTTAACATCCTGCTAAAATACTACGCATCTACCTGCGATTCTCTGCACGTTTCTAAATTGTCCTAGGTATGCTCTACTAGCAAGTACTTCAACCTGTCCCACTATTTAATATGGATTTTGCAGTCCTAGATCTTTATTTGCTTTGTCCCTACGTTCGCTATACTAATAGTTAATAGCGAGGATGTGACCTGTTTGTTTCCACTTGTCTGCAACCTTTTTAAGCCACCATTAAATTAACATTTCGTGCCAAATGGTTAATCTCTCCCTCCCTCTTGACCATCCTATGCCTTCTCAATACACTTCCAAAACTGACCCAACTTTGAAGGTTTCCACCTTCTTAGGCTCGTTGGCATTACCATGCATAGTAACACATCCAAATACTGCAATGTCTTTCAACGGTGAGGCTTCCAATGATACGATCTTGTAATGTACTTGTGCAGGCCCTGTCAATTGGGGGCGGTGGCCATTTCAAGCTGGGCGCCAAGGTCTTGAAGGCGCTCGCCTACAGACATCTGTGCATCCTAAAGGATGTGGCAGATCGAGGTGTTGGTGACTTGCCCAGCTACTACTACAGGGATGACGCTTGCACCATTTGGAAGACCATTCACAAGTAACCAGAAGCATACTATACGCTGGTGGTTTTGTGCATTTTTCTGTGCACAACGATGAAAGTGCTATTGGCAAGCTTGTGCAACCTACTTGCAAGAGCAGTTTGGATACCAATTTTTCATTATAGGTCCAAAATGAGTTTACACCACCTAAGTTTAACTGCATTTCCTCCGTTCAAGATAAGTGATCCAATAAATGCTGCCTTCCCCAGGGTAGATGTTTTCCACAACTTGATATGTTTATCCTAAGCTCTTAACAAGAGCACGATACCAAAAATTTTGGACTTAATTTAGGACCAGGTCGCTTCATTTCCTGTAGCTTTTCTTTATAACTGAAAGTGCTGTTGCGTTGCTGTCCAGATTTGTCGACAAAATCGTTGCCATCTTCTACAAGAATAACGAAGATGTGATGGGTGACACTGAGCTTCAGGCTTTCATTGATGACATCAACCATGCCTTGCTGAGCCACCCATCCAATGGTAAGTGTCCTAGCACTGCTGCTGGAGGAAGGGATTTTGGTGTTTGCATGCTGGCCAGACCAGAGTGGAAATGCATTACCACACCAGGTTGTGACTGGCTTTTAGCCGACTATCCTGCTATTGCTGGCCACACAATGTTAAAGGCGTGCCTATGACTTGCCAGGAACTTGCAGGCAACACTAGATGACGAGTCATGTGCTAACGAAGCCACATGATATGCATAAACTTTTATTTTGGCCCATGGACCACTACCAATGCAAAGGTTTCCGTGAACCCCCCCCCCCAACCCTGGTTACAAAACATTAAATTGTAAATGCCAGTAATACACTGCATTTGCCGGCACTTTTTTCATGCAGCTTATCACATTTTTGAACGGCATTTAGATTGTGGTAGTTAACATTAGGATGTACTCACGTTCATATTAATTTCTGGATTGGTATATGGAACACTGGTCCCCTGAACCAGACCACAAACCACCGCTCTAGGCAATGGCAAAACTCTACTTACAATTTCACCGAACGATGGGGAATTCGAGCTTACAGGTTTTGCTGGCCAAGCATTGTATTTGTAACAACTTGATGGCTTGCTGCTCCTTTGACATCGTGTCTGTGCTGCAGGATTTCCTACCAAGTTCACCTGTGTGGCAGAGTTGAGTGAATTCCTCACAATGGTAGTGTTCCTGTGCTCTGCCCAGCACTCTGCAATCAACTATGGCCAGGTAACGTAAAGTCAGATGTTTGACGACAGCCCTTGCAAAATGATGTTCGGTTTATTGCTGACTTGGTCTAGTAAAAGAATAATGCTCTACCCACCCCTGTGCTGCAGTTTGATTTCTATGCATGGATCCCAAATGCACCCAGTGCCATGAGGAAACCACCTCCAACCACCAAGGGTGTGGTGGACATGCCCTTCATCCTGCAGACGCTGCCTGATGTGCAGGTGTCTTGCGTTTCCATGGCCATCACCTGGGTGCTTAGCCGCAGTGCTGCAGAGGTGGGTGCTTGCTACTGCCTTTGCAATTTATATTGAGGTTACGACGGCCTAAATCTTGAATTGAATGTTTTGTGACTGCAGGAATTCCTATTCTGTGGATATTTTAGTAAAGTCGTGTAGGTTTAAACAAACTAAAACGTTTGGCTTGTAACACGTATGCCTCATCCGAAAAGGGGTTGGCCTCTAGATAAACTGTTTTATAAGGGTTTGAAATGGGCATAGCCCAAGTGGTCAGCAGCATGGGCTATTAATGTTAATGGCAGTGGGTGACTGTTCTGTTGGTGGATTTTCACCAATTAAAAGATTTCCAGATATAAAATGGCACCATTTACAGCCAGTTATGACCTTTTTGGTAAATATTCTGTCCTGAAACGGCAGCCACTAAGCCCTGCCCAGTGTCTAACTTGCATTACGAATCTTTGAGGTGGGTGCACCCACACTTGCCCCAAGACACACGACCTTCTTATGGGCCAACTTGTGCAAGTTGTATACTATACTGATGCTGTTTCATGAAATGCGTGCAGAAAACCCTTGGAACATTCCCAGATGAACCTTTCCAGAATCCAGATGCCCTCACGGCCATGCAAGAATACCAATCCGACCTCGAGGTGATTACAAAATCCATTGTTGCAAGAAACGAGACTCTTCCAATCAAGTATCCCTACCTGAAACCTGACAAGGTGGCCAACAGCATCACCATCTAACTGATGGGGCTAATGTGAGGCTTGGATTTACTGTGCTTGCCTGCGTTGTCCTTGTGTACCATAGACCATATTGTTTTATATGGAGGCTGCTTTAAAATTCAGATTTGCAATGCAAACTTAGATATTTAAGTGCACTAATGTGTGAACCTTTATTTCCTAAAGACCCTTGCACTGGATGCAAGCCTTCAATAACATGTGGTGCTTTGGTAAATTTAAGATGGCAAGCAGTGCCAGGATTTCCTTTACATGTGTTGCACAACTTATTGTATCTTGAACTGTCTTGTGTGCACGTTGCAAAATGAGAAAAAATAAAAAAAGCTATCTAAACCTTTATTTTGTCAGTTGGAACATTTATATAGCTGGTGTTTATTTCCCTTTCAGTTGTAGGTTGGGCTGCCATCGCCCATGGATTCTTTAGGGCAATGCTACTTTTCCTTAGCTTTATAGCTCAAACATGCTTGCCACGTGTGGCGCTATAATGGGTTCAAGGGGAGGTGGAGACGACTTGTAGAGGCAACTTTTTTTTCTTTACAACAGTAACAATAGCGGTCTTGACAGACGGCAACCCCTTTTTTACCTCCTGCCTGGGGTGGTATGGCATCCAGGCTAGTGCCCTATCACCTGGGACCACAGCCTCTGACCTAAGTGCAACTGAGGGGAGGCGAAACTGACAGAACCCATACCTTGGTTGGGACCACTGGCCCACTCTGTCCCGGCCATCACGAGGGCAGTGGGTCTAGGGGTTCCGAGGGTCTGAGGCTAGCTCGTCTGCTGGCTTCAGCTAGCTCTGCTTCAATCTTCAGACTGGCCCTGAACTCGTCCAGAGGTCTGGCTTTCATACCCATGCCTTCCCTTCCAGAGTTCCGGGGGGGGGGGTCTCGATCCGAGAACACCCCCTGAGTCATCGCCACCCGGCATCGCACTTGTATTGCTGCTGGGCGGCAGAGGCTAGTTACACAGGGGTGGTCACGCTTGGACATTGGAGGAAATTGGCACGTCGGGTGATCGAGACCGCGGCGGGTTCCTTGGCGGTGTCGCTCTATCCAGGGAATTGAGGTTTTGGTGGACACGGGTGCTTCTGCCACTTCATATTGGATGTAATTTTTGACCTATTGCTGATGAAGAACCAGCTTGTTAGGCCGGTAGTAAACACATGCGTCACGAACGGTGGTAGTATGGGTATTATAGAGCAGGTGGAGGTCCGCGTCGAGATTGGCAAGATCACAGTTGTTGGGCCGGTACTGATCTCGGACACTGGCAGTGCCCTTTTTTAGGCACGAATTATCTGTGTGGAGATGCCATTGGGCCGCAAACATTTTTTTTTGCAGTCCCCCACACAAGTATGGTGGCGAATGTTAGTCCAGGCCCTTGCCAGGGACTCTGCAAATCCCGCC